ACCTTAACATTGAAATTTTCCAGCTAGAGCAATGAAAATGCGTAAATTAGCCATTTTCAAGTAGCCTTAGCATCGTTACGGGAAACGAAAGGAGAGTTTCTTTTTTTGAAATATTGCTGCATTACTTATGATAAACAGTAAAAATCCTTAAAACTCCATAATGTTGCCAAATGATTTGTTAAACATTCAATTTTTGATTTCTGTTTAAGCAGACTCAAACTTGACTTCCGGTTATGGTGTGGAAATCGTTCAACCGTTAAATTATCGATGTTTACTAAATTGAAGATATTAATAATTTTAAGATACAAAATTCTTTACTTTACATAATTATTTCCCCCATAAAAAGGGGGTTGCGTTTCTTTTGCGTGTCAGTATATATTCTTTATATTCTATGATAAAATTCTATAAATCATTGAAGAAGAAATTATACTGTGCATTTATTGACTATGAAAAATGCTAATAAGGAGGAGGTAATTAGAAACTAGAATTTCAATTGAGTGAAGTTTTCCTTAAAAACTGAAGAGAGTAAGATGCTTTTTGTCTGTAGGTATTTCTTTCGTATAAAGAGTTTTTAAAGCTTTTATATTTTCTTTCACAGCGGCATTTTTTCCTTTTTGGTAGAAAAGCATCTTATAGCAAGCCAATTTCACCCTCAGATTTCCATAAATTTTGTAAATGTTGTTATGAAATGATTTCTTTTTTTCTGCTGTATTTCTCTTTTCTTGGTGATTTCTTTTTCTTTTTCTCTGATGATGTTGATATGTTTTTGGTGTAATGATGTTTTTGTCTCTGTTTCGTTGTCTGGAGGTACGATTTATTTAATTTTTTTTCTAGCTGTTGTGATTATTTCTGAAACTGATTTTTTTGGAATTTAGCCACTCATGAGTTTTGTTATTTTTGTACATGATGATACTTTCAATGTTATTTGTAGATACAATTAATGCTTGCTTATCACAGTCAATGAGTTATATAATTTTGCCATAAGTCGTTCAACAGCTATATTACCTGCAGGAGAGGAAGCAGTTTCTGGAAGTTAATTTGAAGATGCTGAAAATTTTTTTTCCATTTTCCAAAGAGTCAATAAAGAATTTAACACATTTGACACAGAGAGCATTACAGAATATGGAAATGAAATCTAATGTTAGTGAATCGAGATCAGATTCTTGGGAGAGTTCCAGCTCAATATCACTTAGAAGATTTGATGATCCTTCCAGTAGAGACACTCAATTGTAAAGGAGGAGATGTGGATTGTCGGAACAGCACTGTAGGAGTTCAGCGAGTCTTCTGTAGAAGGTGCCCATGTCGCTTGCATGCACACATGTTATTGTCTTCTGCAATACTCATGTAAGGTTCTGTTATTTTGATGGAAAGTATACCAAAACATCTCACTATTGTCAGTATGAATTTATTTTGTAAAGCACAAAGAATGAATTTCTGCATCTGATTTAAAGATAGTTTTGTAGAAGAAAGATATTGCAAAATGTGTTTCTTGAGATGAAATGTTCTTGCAGAATTGAAGAAAACAGTATTTAATCTAGTGTCTCTGTATTTCATGATAGGAATTTTTGAAATGTTGAGAGTATCTTTAATGTAGGTGGATATTAACAGTGGATCTCCATGGCCATTCTTATAGAAAAGTTTAGTCACCGAACGCAGAAGATAAGACGTGTTTGATTCGGACCAGGCAATGGAATTTATGTTTAATTTGTGTTGTTTCTCTATGTTACTTATTTCCTTAAGACAGACATCTGAGAATTGGAGAAGGAGGTGAACTACACATTCAAAAGAATAGTATTTCTCCTTATTATACCCCCACAAACGAAGTTTAGGGGGGTATATTGGAATCACCATGTCCGTCTTTCCGTCTAGCTGTCCGTCTGTCTGTAGACAAATTTTTGTCAGGACCATTACTCGGAAACTATTGGAAGGATTTGTCTGAAATTTTTACACATATTCTTCACCATATGAAGGTGTGCACCTGATATTTTCATTTTGATTGGATGATTTTTTTTTAATTTTACAGGTATTTTTTTTTTCGTTTTTCTATTTTGGGGTTTTCTGTAGAACGTTTCTCAGAAATTATTGCAAGGATTCATCTGAAAATTGGTACACCTATTATTTACTAAATGAAGGTGTGCCTATGGAATTTTCTACTCTATTTGTTTCTTTTTATTTGCATTTACAGGTTTATTTTAATTGACTTTTCCATTTTGGGCTCATGTTTAAGGTTTGAGACATAAAATCTAGAAAATCTGTACAAAAATGTGACCTACAGCTTTAAACTACTCATTAAAACTAAAAAAGAAACATCATTAAAAGTTTAAAATAGTTTTTACATTACACGGAAGATAATGTAAAATCATTTATCTCTTGGGAATAATGACTGGACATGAAACCAGTAGATAAATTAATGAGTTTGGTGTGGAAAGTTGTTAATCTTATCTTATCAAGCATGTGATATCTTCTGAGATTTTGGCACAAGAATTAAAGATCTCTTCTCTAATTCTCTTAGCTTTAATTTATTGTCTGTCAAAGCACTTCATTACTGGATGACCAGCTCTTCATTTTCAAAATAAATTTGATATAAAGTTATCAAGATTAATTTTATTTTATATAATATGATTTTTTTTCAACAATCAGTTTGCAGAGTGTCATGAAACATAATAGTTGCAATATATTTGACTGCCGTCACGAGAAAAGGGCCTTTAAGGTCAAATCTTCACAAATTGACTTTTTGGTAAATTTTAATAGCCGGACTCTTTCTGAATGCAATTATACATAAATTTTGAAAATATCTCACCTTTTCCCTAGATCCTATACTTCTTTTGGTTTTAAAATTGGTAGACAAAGTTGAAACACATCTTAAGTTATGCTTGATATTATGTTTCATATTGAAAAATATGTTTTTCATACACATCCATAAAGTCATGTATTTTATAAAAATCAGGGGGGAAATTAAAGGTGATTGATACTAAAATTATTTTATAATATTATTATTATAATATATATATATATATATATATATATATATATATATATAAATCACAAATTACAACAACTCTTAAACTAATATAACTGCCCTAAGTGAAGGAATATTAATATAGAAAGCACAGAGATATTCACTTTTACAAGGGTACTCACTTCCGCCCCAGCCCTGGGTTTAACTCTCGACCTACGGAATCTGTCTCCTAGCAGTGCAGGAACAGCGCGTTAGACCGCTCGGCTATCTAGGCAAGTTAAAAAACTTGCTTTTGATGCCGATGGAATTCTCACAATGCTGTCCTACACTACACGGTCATTGAGAATGGAAGTGAGATAAATAAATTTGATATTATCACAACATGTATTTGTAACGATCCTCTAAAAACTAATGTTCAAATAACTGTATCTCACTTCCATTCTCAATGACCGTGTAGTGTAGGACAGCGTTCATCAATTCGTCATGTGTTTTAACGAGAATTGAGGGATTGATGAGGGCTCAAGAGAAGTCAAGTTTAGTGTGCCCCATATTTTCTCGTAAAATCCAAAATGGCGCGGGCGCATTTGTAACCCCGCCGTACCTCCACATATTCGCGAATTTTAATTCATGGAAATTAAATAAGATTTTACATGTCTGTGTAACTTATAAACCTTTTTTGGAGTCAAAAATCAAAAGCAGTGGTGAGTTCTTGGGCGCCGAATTTGAATAAACTAGAAAAAATACGCAAAGAAACAGGTCAGGGGCAAGACTTTTGTACATTTTATTTGTAAACGGTAAGAGTGCTGTTACTCAACTATATTTGTTGAAAACTGTATTAATATACTTCAGTTTTATACAGAAGATGTTTTATTTCATACAGTGGAGAGCTTTATAAACGACCGAAAATTCAGTCGTATCCTGTAACTTAAAATCTTAAATGAATGTCGATGATAGCATAACCGGGCATAAACCGTGCTAGTAAACAAACCATACAATGAAATATGGAATTTTTGATAAATGGTTCCATAGTCCTAGTCTACTTCTTTGCGAAAAAAAAAATTTCTTTGAAATATTTTTTCAAATAAGCCTTCGGTAGCACTTTTAAAATTGTCTCATGTGGATAAAAACGCGACTTTTCAGTATGCTAAACATTCTATATTATGACGTCATTTTCGCAGATATTACGTCATAAAAATAACAAAGTTACGTCACAATACGTGTATATTTTTTTGATCTTTACAATTATATAAAACTCAATTATTTCCGTGAAACGGTTAATTTTTTATTACACTGTTCTCAGGACTTTTGAAATACCCCTCGTAACAACTGTTTTGAGAAACACTCAGATTTACTTGTAAATAAACGGGAGTCCACAGACACATCATGTTCATCTAAAGCATCTGTTAGCATTTTAAAACGGAAAAATAAATGTTAATAATCAATTCATTAAAAAAAATTAATGTTCTTGGTTTCCTTCAATGAAACATGTACAGCTATCAAAAATATCTTTTATACATGTACATATGCTATGCTCTACTTAAGATATAAAGGAGAAAAGACATGAAAATACTACATTGCCCTAGAAAAATGATATTATAAAGCTTTGTAAACATACACTGATCAACATTTAGCCCATCACATTATCTTTAAAACCAATATCAAATTTATAACTACTGGATTAATGTGAAATATGAGACTAACAATTTTGTTCATATTAAATATTAATTTTATAAAATATATTATAATATATAAAAAAAATATTATCATAATAAATAATAATATAATATAATAAATAATAATATAAAATATATATATATATATATATATATATATATATATATATATATATATATATATATATATATATATATATATATATATATATATATATATATTGATCTTTCCAATGATATCAAACTCAATAATTTCCGTGAAACGGTTTATTTTTTTTTTATTTAACAGTTGTTAGAACTTTTGAAATGCCCCTCGTATTTCCATCGTAAGAAAGATCACATGTCAATTCTGGATCGACGGTGGCATCACTATCAACAGACGGGGGAGCTATTGTGGAGTTGGCACTACTAAGAGTTTCACTTTCTGTCAATGTAGAAGTTCTGTTACTGTCAATATCAGATGGATTTACGACTTCCGGACTTTTACAAGTACCAGCATGGCTAGCATGCACTACACAAACTTCACATTTGCACTCAATTTCCTCTCTGTTAAGTTCTTCAAAAACATTGGATTTGGAGGGATGATAACAATTATTATATATGTATCTTTGTAAAATAGCATCCTTGGCATTTGTACAGATGTTAAATTGACTGTTGTAAGAATTTTCATAAAAAGGGGGTATGTGTACACATAAAGGAGTGTCGAAATGAGGAGATGTAAGCCATACATATCTCTCCATTATTTCTGAAATAAGACATGTATTGTCTCAAAGTAAAATGGACTATACTCCAGAACGATAACTCATTTTTACAATTGTTATTGACAAGATAATGCAATATCGTTTTTTTTATTTTTTCGCTTATTTTCGCTTCTTCTTTTACAATATATATATTAAAACGATTAAATGCAGTTTGTTTTCGTGTCTTTCTTTACACAAAGCACAAAGAAGAACGAATGAATCAACTAGATACTCTGCTAAGAGGAAAATTTCAATACTCTTATCAAACAAATTGTAAAATATTTTCATATGTACAAGAATTTATTAAATCTTCTAAGATACTAAATTAGGGACACTGTTATATTAAATATTCTATTAAATGTACAATTTTTTCCAAATATTTGTATTATTTTTAGAACAGTATGTATATAATATGTAAACAGTTAAGGGGTTTACATCTTTTTTGAAACATAATATGGATAAATAATACCTGATTGTGAATTTTTATTTTTATTTTTTCATTATAATTCTATTGATAATCATGTACATGTACTAGTATTATTACTTACTGTATTTGACCTATTATACAAGGAGAGGGTGTAAATAGGCCTTGCCTGTTGCCCAATTCTTATTGAATTGTTCAATAAAATATGTTTAAAGTAAAGAAGAACGAACGAGTAGAAAAAAAAAATCAGAACAAATATTGGAAGAGTGACGTAGTCCGATGTATATTTTAAGAGAAATTTTCGCTCGTTAAGAATGTGTTAACTTATCTGACAAATTGAAAATTAAGTTTACCTTATGCACAACACATTAAAACTGTAAATCACCAGAGAAGTTGAAGGATTCTTTTATAAACGCAATAAATGGACATACCTATCGAAGTCACACACACGTTCTAGACACCCTTACATCGTTCAATATATCGAACCCTCTCGGCAACTGAAAGGCTTTTGTTCAGGGGTTTATGTTCCTCTGCTGAATTTTTGTCTCCGCTCGCTCCACAAATTTGATGCTTTCTTCCCCTCTTACTATAAATCCTAGAAAAAGGGTAAAATGACAGGTTTTATAATATTATATTTAATGTCTCAACCAGTTTTTCTTTTAAATCTGAATCAAGTCTTATATTTCATGTTTATATTTGGAAATAAACTTTAATGCTCATTTTCTCTGAAATCTTCTGAGAAAGAGGCTAAAAACAGAAATGATAGATCATTCATGAAATGTGTTTTTCTATATATATTTATAATTTAATTCTGGTTGTAACGCTGTATTTGATTGGATAAAAAAATTACTTTATGTCGTATAAAATGGTTTGTCTACGTCACAATGACTTACGTCAAAAACGTATCAATCCGCCTGACGTTACATTCAAATTTTGTACAAATTGAAGTCATTTTGTTAGAACAATCATCTTTTTTCTTTAATCAAATGAATGAAAATTAAATTATAAGCAATGAATTTAATAGCTACCCATTTTATACGGTATAAACTGAACAGTTTACGCTTTTTTATAAACCGATTCGCGGTTTATAAAGCGTAAACTGCCCCAACCCAGTTTATACCGTATAAAATGGGTAGCTATTAAATTCATTCCTTAAATATATATATCCCTTCAAATGTGTTGAGGCCTTATTTGTTTATTGACATAAAGCAATGAAGAATCAAAATATTGAATTATTTAGAAGTGTTGTTTTTAAACGCATTCTACGCAACACATACAGATTTCAGAGAGACATCTGTTTAACTGGGAGATATATCTCTGTAGATAAAGAGTTATATCTTTTCAAGGAAAAGACATATTATATTCCTCCTAGAGAAAGAGATATCTAGAATAAACATTAGGAAAAATCTCGTTTTACAAAATAGTTATTTTTCAAAGGGAAAAGCGTATCACATTTAAAAAGACATATCTCTCTCAAATAAAAGAGACATCTCTCTTTGTGAAATATTTCTTTTTTTAAGAGCTCTTTTAAAAAGATAATATCTCTTTAATTTTGAAAGACAGCTTTCCGAAGAATCGCTTAATGTTTTTGACATAAATAATGTTCTCTGTGGCTTTGGTCGTTGTATGTTTGAATGTCAGCAAAGCTTTGATTTTCATTTAGGTTAATGTAGGGAAGTAAAAAAAAAACTGGGAAATAATTGATTCTGAATTCAAGGTTAAATTACTTACTTATAATGCACAAGGATAGATAAAATGAAAACTCCAACTATAACAGCAGCACAGGCAATAACATACTTGTCCACTCCTGTGTTCCCATTCTGTGTTCCTTGAGTTCCTGATTTGAACAATTGTAATATTCAAATATGCATGCATTATTTTAACCACTTTTTATCCACTCGCCAAGGCTGGAGGATAACAAAAACCATAACAAGTTGTATAATAATCATATCCAATTACAAATCATGGAATATCCTTTATTTATTATAATGTATGTTAATTTATTGTTTATACCAGGGGTGATCAAAAAGTTCGAGAATTATTTCTATTTCTATACAAAATTCAGATTAGAATAAAATTTGGTGCACACATAGCCATACACAAGTTCTATATATAGCATATGCTGAATCAAGTGTTGCCCTTTTTTGTGACGTCACAATGTGAAAATGACGTCACTATGTAGACCATTGGTGACAAATATGTTTGTCTCAATCGTACTCGTTCAACGAACAACTGTAAAATATATTATTTATCTTAGAAATCCCTTTGCATTAGCGTATAATAATTTGTACACAGTTAATTAAAACTAAAGACTTCCTCTAGAAATTAAATAACAGATTGGTTTGATCGTTTTAGTGAATGAAGGTAGATGGTTAAAAATTATAATTTTTCAGTTACCCAGCGAAAGCACGTTTGGGAAAAAATATGTTTTTAATTAAACAATAATACTTTATATTCAAATATATTAGGTATGATTAAAACTTAGACAGAGGATTTGGGTTTTGATGTTCGCCATATTCATTTTGGGAACGGATATTCTTATTCACCCATTCTTTTACCGAGATTTTACCATTTCTGACAAATGAACTGTACTTGTTATAGTTATAAGAATTAACTTGAATGGAAAGATATATCAAACTTAAAAAATCCTTCGGCTTTTGTGACAGACCACTACGAAGCAGGTCACGTGACCGCCTATATAACGTGGTGGCAGATAAGCATTAAAATCGGAGAGGACTAATTAAAATATACTCCACATTGAAACCAAATACTGATTCTTTTATTAAAGTTATTCGCAAATATTTGATCCCCCCTCGTATGTCAAAGTGCGATGGTGTTTTCAATAAATGAATTGAATTCAATAAAAGGAAATGTTACAATGATTATGTCAAATTACTGAAATTAAAACCTGTGATCAATGCATGTTCCAAAATATTTTTACGTTTGATATGCTTAGATTAAGCCAACAAAATCAAATAACGTACCATCATTGTTTTGGTCAAATACTATCGTCCAATTAAAAATCGTGTTGCTGAAACCAGCGTATACTAATGAAGCAGTTAGAGTCCCTCTGCCTTGCAAATGTACTTCTTTCAACTCTTTAGCCGAAATATTAAAAGAGGCAAATGTGGAAACTTCTAAGCGTTTGCATTCCGTATCGATTCCATCAATAGTAAACGTACTTCTTAATAGGTGCTCATCCTGCAGAGAATATTTACTTTTTTAATTCTTTCAAAACTGTAGCTTTAAGAAGTTTAACTACGTTATTCATGACAGTTCATCATTGAAATAGATGAAAGATTTTTCTGAGTATGTGCACATTGTATCATTATGTCTGTGTACCCTAAATATTCTCAAAACATATTCCAATATTGCTTTTTCAGTTGAAATTTGTTAACGAAAAATGAGAAAAATGCTATACAGAATGACTACTTTCTTTATAACGAAAACGCTTTCGGCCATCCTTAAGATACCTTTATATAACTGTTCTGGATGTTTTAATTTGTTTCATAGTGTAGCATTTCTATTATTTTGCCTTAGTTGACATGAAGTATATCTTACCTTGTAGACAACATTCAGCGTAGGACGTGGATACATGCATGATGTTTCAACATTTAGGTATACAAATTGTACACCGTGTAGATGAATTTCTGTATCATTTATAACATTAGAATCCTGGATGATCAATTTTGGATGCTCTACAAACAAAAATTAATTTAAGATTCAAGTATACCAATACATTAAACAGTACGTTTGTGCCACAGTATGTAATTATCAAAGATGTAATATTAAAATACATATTGATCAAGTAACACTTTCATAGGAAAAAAAGGATTCATAGTAGTATTGTGTATCATGAATTGTCAATTTTCGGCATTATCACTGTAAAAATATGAACAATCGAGAATGAAACCATTTGTCTTCATTTGAACCTAGAAGAACAGAACCTAAAGCCTTTTTGATAAAATGAGTGCATAAAGGCAGCGCCCATCAGCAACGGAATTCTACATTTAAAGGACCCAAAACAGTCTTGCAACTTTTCTAATTTCTTTTAATATTGACATCGTTTTGAATGAGTTAATGGCTGAATATGCTATGCATTAAATTATTGGTGATATGCTAAAAAAAAACTATTATGCCACAAAGAAAATCATGGCTGCATGCCTGAGGAAGACAGGACTGTTTATGTTTTTATCTGTCTTTAAAAAAAATTACCTTTCACATTTTGAGTGAGTGGAGTTATATCTTACATCAAACTTATGAAAAAAGGAAATAAAATATTAACATACTGTATATATTAATCCTTATTGGATATTCATCACCGTCTGCTATAAAAGTCACATGACAATTATCCTTCGAAATACTTGCGTTCTGGATGATTAAAGTTGATTCCAAGTTGGATGGATCATTCTTAATGTTGGCACCTTGTGAACAGCTTTTTTGTACACATATTCCAACTAGTTCTCCGCACTTTCGCCACCGAATTGTATGATTTTCATTTTTCTGACAATACTTTGCAACTATTTTAACGTCGTCACCGACCTTTGGGAATTTTTTGTCTGTGGATATGGACGGTCGACCTAGAATTAAACAAGGCATTCATTTACATTGACGTTCATCAATATCAAGTAAGTTGTTTTCTTTTCCTCAGACGCCCGTTAGTTAAAAAAGACAATTTCTCAAAGTTAAAAGCATTTTTAAAAAATTATTGAACCCAACCATAGGCCTGAAGATTGAATCAGGGATATGAATTGTCAAATCAAAAAAAAATTGTCTTAAATGCATTCTAGTATCAAACTCAGATCATTATTGTTACACTGGGTGCTATGGTTTACAATTTAAAATTACAATACGTTAAAAAAAATTACCTTAGTAATGTGCTTTACCGGGTCGGCGTGTTTAAAGAGTTTTTCAAGAGTTAACATGTTTTCTCGAAAAGTTTTCGGGGAAAGAGGAGGGGTCAGCTGGGTGATGCAAAGGACAGCACTCAGACTATAGTGTCACAAACATGGAAGTTAAATTAAAATTTTTATTTCGATTATATCAAAATTTTAATTGATATTTCTTCTATCATTCAAGTATGATATTTAATGTAAAATCTATACAATGTTCGAAAATCTCACAAACGGTAAAGTAATTTGCATATGAAATAGCATAAACACACTAATAAGGAAAATAGGATCAACTATGACTGGGGCTTTGCTCCTTTTTTGAAAGCTATTCCTTAACGTTAGCGTAAAAATATACATCTTTTGGTTAAAAACCATGTAGCAAAGACCCACTTTACCTCCAATTTGTATGCCAAAACATATGTATCTGTCTGAGGAGAATTCCATTTAGTCAATTTTATATCACATATTACTGTAAGAAGGCGAAGTATATTTTGCATCGTGCTCGAGATTCTTGGAATTGGATTGGATTGAGATTGGAATTTTTATAAAGTTTACAAATCATAAAAAGGAAAATTATTTTTATATTCATATTCTTTTTGAATAACTGAAATAACGTAAGTTTTTGACTGTAAATAATTTTTATAATATATTCTTTTACACTTGTCAATCTGTCCATTGATTGGTCAATTTACCGAATGTACAGTAGGCAATCTTTTGGTGGTATTTTTACAGTGAAGACGTGTGTCAGCTGTGTTATAGAGTTTTATGAAGAGACTTACTTTTACATTCGACAACTGACTTTTACATTTTAGTAATGGAGTTTGTCTCTGTTTTAATTGTAGAAGTCAGTCGCCGATTGTAGAAGTAAGTCTCTTCATAAAACTCTTATACTAGACGCCTTTTGTCTGATATATGTGAACAATGATTTTTTTTGTCTTGCATTCATATTAGACTAGGTACTTATGTCACAAGTGAATGATTATTCCATATTTTGTAAAATATGCAACTGTATAATTTCCCGATTGAAAATGGTTTATTACTAGTCAGAAATGATGTCGTTATGTTACCATCTAGTCATTTAAGTATTATAAGTACGTTTATAGGTTAAAAATAATAGATGCCCTGATGTTATAGATGGTTTTAAAAGATTGTTCAATGCAAAAAAAATTTATTATAATAGTGGTTCCTTGTCAAGTACATGTATGTATAGTTTGTATGAATTGAGTTGTATTTATAGTGAACAGTCCTCGTGTGATGACGTCACAGTGACCGGAAGCCACACTGCATTCCATTTTTTATTAATAATTATTTATACTGCATATTTATTTCTTGCTAAGATGATATGCTGTATGATAAAGTGTAATAGAAGTCTGACTGTCATAAATATTACTTCATGAAATGAACATTACTTTTTCATAATATTGAAATGTCAGGGGGTTTTATTGTACTTGTTTACATTTATTTTTTTATGACTATCATTTTCAATTGTGTTTTGTTTATTTTAGGACCACTGTCACCATAATCATTGATTATCATTTGTTAATCATCAAATCAAGAATAAAAGAACTACAATACAAGAACATCATTCTCTTGTGTTACATCAGAAACATTTAGATGCCTCCATTCTTCTTCATCAGCAGATGATTGGCGCAGTTCTTAGTGTTGTAATCTCAAGGCAAATGATCCTAAAAAGTTTTATTGCTAATTCGAATTCCGCGAAAAGCAGATAATTTTTTTCTTAAAAGAATTATTTTGGTTGAGAAACTTTTTTATTTATCATCATTTCATAATCTTGGTCAGGTCAAGGTTATACCTTTTCCCTGAACATTAAGAATAAAAAATTTCCAATCATGCAATTCCCACTTCTATTTCAGATATTTAGATTGAATGTTTTTCTTTTTGCATAAAAAATACAACCATACAGGGCATATAAGATGATATTTCCAAATTTATATACATAATTTAACTAAAATGCAAGATGAATATTGACTTATGCGAAATTTCTCTACTTTTCTTAAATATTTAGGATATATTAGTCATTTTTATATGCTTCCTATATTAAAATTTTTCTTATTTTCACACTTAGTAAAGTTGTCACATAAAGATACAGAATGATAAAGCAAAAGGTTTTGATCGTTTACTAAGAGAGAAAAAACACTTTTTTACGGATTTTTGGCTTGAATTAATTTGTATTTAGATTGGAAGCTTAAAAAAATCATATTTATTTGGTATATTTTAAAGCTTTTTAAAAAAAAATGAATAAAAGGAATTGTGTCAGAATGTTTTTTTTTCTTGAATTCGAGCATACTTACAGGAAGAATATGACAATAGACTGATGCCATCGACTGGGTTCATCATTAAAAGGAAAGATACCTGCAATCATGTAAATAATCTTAATTAACAATAAATCCATTTAATAATACTAGCAATATTTTGGGGGTTTCAAAAAAATATATATCAAAATTTGTGTTGATCAGCAATACAAATGATGTAAAGATTCATTTACAGTGGAAACTGGGTTAATAAATCTGGACATTTTCTTTTCGGTCAAATCATTCGAATAATCGTCAAGATAACTGAATCTCATTATTAAATTAAAAGTTGTAAAAAAAAAAGTTTTTATTGAAGTAAATAATGACTCACAGATTTATTTTATTGCTTAAATATTGAATACTAGAGCTGGTTAAATAAAAATAGGGGCCTACTGAAACATTTTCAATTATTTAATTTTGGTTGTAATTTGATTGGATAAAATATTTAGACTAGATCATATACATGTAACTTGGGTTGCCTAGGTCTCAATGACTTACTTTAAAAACGTATTAATCTGCTTGACGTTACATTCAAAATACGTTTATTGTGAAGCATTTTTGAATGAGATATTGTCTTTTTTTCTACACTTAATTAAGGAGGTTGGCTCCTGTCATCAACATTACTTAGAATTTTTTGTCAAGTTTATTTCAAGAATCTACGCACATAGCTTAATAAAAAAAAATTTCAAACAAAATTTGGGGCAAGTACGCTTCTTATAGCAAAATGGAGCAAACAAAATGACTTCAATGCACTGTAATTGTGTCTAACACATAGATAGTGTTAACAAAAGTTTTCCCTCACTATTTCTTATTCAAAATAAAACAAACACAGTTTTTTTGTTCATCTTGAATAATCACATTAAAATTTGAGACAGCAAAAATAGTTTCAAATTACATCGCTTAGTCAATTACTTGACTTTTCTGCATTCAAAAAATGTTATTTTTCTGGAATCAAAAATTTAAAAAGCAATGAAATTATTTAAAAGAACATGCAATGAAATTTTTCTGAATTTAATCAGATCGGTGTAAAATTGTCTTATATATTAAGAAAATGAAATAAAATGAGGTAGTCCGAGATATAAGTTTTTACATTTTGATAAAAATGTGTTGATTTTAAGCTTGATGGATATTTCATGGATATTTAATACATGCATATATTCCAAACATGATGATTTAATTTGTGACAGTTAATTTGAAATATAATTCAGGACCATCATAGAACATTTCATCGCACAAAATTAATCTGTGTACAGGTTGCATGTAAAAAATAGTAATCCAAACTCAACAATACTGTATTCTTCAATATTGATCATTACCCTACTAAAATACCTCCCGCCACAAAATATAATTTCTAACTAAATGCTTTCGAGATGGAATTATACAGTGTATGATGGAGTATTAATTAAATTTTGTTTAATTAGCATTATAGAATCAAAATGAGCAGAATATGAACTTAAACATTATCGCCATTTCTAATAGAAGTCAAGAAAAAAATCTTCTCAAAAGCTGAGAAGCGACTCTCTTTATAATGACGGAAAATTAAAATTACTGAGTATAAGCAATGAATTTTAATGTTCGCACAAGTTAAACCAATGAAAACTATTTTTAAATAAAACTTTTTGTTTGCAATATTTCATACCCTAATTTTCAGTGAGATCAAAGTATTAAAAAAAAAGTCATAAATTAATTAAATTCGGAAAATATCATAACAAAATTATTTGACTAAAAATAAATACAATAAATATCCAAAATAACTAATTATGAATACCTTAATGCTAACATAACAGGATACAAATTTCACAAACTGATATCAATGATCTTTGTCATGTGATAATGCCCATGTTCTATCAATTCAATATATGTTTGATGTGCGAAACATAAATCGTTGTGGTATTGCAATTGTAAATAATGTATTTAAAGCAAAATTCACATTCTTTAAAAACAAATACAATTAATTAGTTATTTTAGGCACTGTAATTCATACCCGGACTCACAATAAGGTTAACTTGTTTCTATATTTTTTTGCACGTCCATCTTGGGGAGCAGTTCATGCAACAACTTTTTACAAAAATTATAAAATAATATCTGATGAGAATTGAAAAATTTGAAACATAATAACAACGATAAAGCAAGGTATAAAAGGAACTTATTCATGACTTTTATGTTTATGAAAAAAAAAAAACAATATATCAATTCCCCATCTGCAAATTCTAACAGAAGTATAACAGAATTATAAATAGATCGGTCGCATGTACGGCCGATATTAATACATTAGAAAAAAAGTTTCTCGTTGATTTTATGTTAACGTTTTATTTTGGTTCAGTTTATGTTGTTTTGAGTTAAAATAAAAGTGACGCTATTTGGACGAAAGAAAGGATAAAGACATTTCCAACTGTACAGTAGAGAATTCTACATTTCATATTTTTCACTGTTTGAAGTTTATTTTCAACCAGATTACATTTATTTCGATAATATATTGAAGCTCAAGATGATGAAACAATCGATCTACTGTATATCACTCTAATTTTGTGACACCTTATTTTTTACGAGTTACATGTATTTAGCTACTACTTTTGGATTCAACAACCTAGATTGACTAAACGTAAACTGACTGTAATTCAACGCAATGAAAAATCCATTAAAACTAAATATGATTCGTAAAAGGAGTGTGTCTGCCATTTTCGATCAGACTCTCGCTATATCCAAGGACGCCTATGTAAAGGGCCTGAATTTGTGAATATTTAGTGTAATCATTCGTCACAGATGTAGACGGAACTATGCTATACAGCATTCGGTTGCGACCAAAAAAACTTTAATTTTCTTATAATGCAGGAAGGTAAGATACAAGTTGCATAGGTCGGTGCAGTGCACTGTAAACAAACAAAGACACACGTAACTGCAATAAAATGTAAACAAAGATAACCAGCACGAACACGGGTCGCCATTCCGCGCCGACACCCGTGACAATAAAGTAGTCAGGTGAAGAATCTGAATAGTATATCCTGGTGTTGATGTATCGTAGATTATGATATCAAAAATGACGTATTCCTATTAACGAGTGAGTCATGTTCAGCTTGAACCTTATTAGGCCACCCATATCGAATACAAAAAGTATAGCCTGAACTGATGATATTGTAGATACTACATGTATCAAAAAATAGCATATGATACAGTATATAATTCTTTATTGGATAACTTTAAGCCATAAGGCTCATCAGTATATAAACAAAAACAAATATAAAGAAAGAGTGGCGAGAGTCTGCGGGGGAGGAAGCCTTAGTGTCCACCTTTCTGACTCCCATACACCAACAAATACACAATATAATTTAAATTCTCCAAAATTACATGAAAAATAACTATAGTATATAATACATGTACATGTATACAAATACATTAAATCATTCATTATTTCTTAATTCCATTGCATGGAGCATAAATTTCCCTTAACCTTTTAAAACCCTAACATCATGAGAGCTGAATAACTGAGTAAGCTTTTACATTTTTGGAGATCTGAAATATACATGTATATATTTTTTCTTTAAGTTTCATAAATAGGACATTCAAGCAAAACACGATATTCATCTTAATTCTATACAGTGATCACTACAAAATTGACATATTGGGAAACATTCTATAATTGCTTCTTGCAATTTTCTGATATCTTCCTGTTTCTATACTTAAGTTATGGGAAGAAAGCCTTATTCTTGTAATATTTTTCTTTAACTTAGAATAAATAGGTTTTGTCAAATATGCATTATTATGGAAAAATTGTCAAACACAGTGTGTTTGTACAAAAACACTTTGTTGAATTTTCAAAAAAAGCATTACAATCTTGAAGGTAGTGCCTATTTTCGGATCGTGTTCCGCTTTAAATAATCTCACAGGCCTCATCATCAATTAATTATTCTTACATTAACAGTATCGCTCTATTTGTATTTGGTATTTATTAGCGAAAAATATTTGAGGGTTATATTTAAAGTGATCAACATAAGTAAGGACAAGTAAAATGATCAGATTAAGAAATTAACAATTATCTGTCTATTGTTCAAGTTCAAGTTCATTTATTCACTCAAAACCATGTAAAATACAGGTACATGAGGACAATGAAAACTATTTACAGCATATACATATATATATATATTCAGGTCAGTGGTATACACGTGTATATGATAATCATTTATGAGATATGATAAGTATACATAATCAGAAAGAAAATGAAATGGGAGAAGAAGAAAAAAAACAGAGAAAATTACAAGTAAGATAAATGTATAGAATGAAACAAATGAGGGGGGGGGGGAGGGAATTATGGAGGACAGACTAAATCATATATTTCTAATATAAACATACAGAATGTAAGTGACATAGTGCTTGTTTTGTCATAAGTTGAGAAAATTTAAGAATATTTTGACTTGTAAAGTAGTATTCATTAATATACTTTTTCCTGATGCTTGACAGTGCAGTGTTTAAGATGGATAAATGCATACGAAAATATGGAAATGATCTATCAAACTCAAAAAACTACGCTCAAAAAATTCGAAAAATTATTGGAAAATCTTAAACGCTTCTGATTAAGAGAAAAAGTGTGCTGTTAATACTGATGATGTGTTCAAGTTTTTGAAAGATGCTAACGAGAGTGATCACGAAGAGAAAAATTCATTTTGTGATGATTCAGACCCTGTCATAAATGATATTCACAATATATCTGATGAGTTTTTAAATTCTGTAATACGAGAAGATGAAATAATACAGGCCGTTAAAAAAAATAAAAAATGGCAAATCATCAATATGATAATATCTTGAATGAACACATTTCATCAACATTATCTTTATTTTTGCCAGTCTATTTGAAATTTTGAAAGTGGAATTGTTCCGGAAGAATGGTAGATTGGTACAATAAAGCCAATATTCAAAAACAAAGGCGATCCTACAAAGCTTGAAAATTATCGCCCTATCACTTTACTCAGTTGCTTGGGAAAAGTGTTTACGTGCATTTTAAATAGGAGACTGGAAGATTATGCAAAGGAAATAAATCTACTTCAAGAA